TATATATAGACACACACATCATGAGCATACATGGAAGGATAGAGGGCGGGGGTTGGGTTAGGAGCGTGATGCTGTCTCTTTTATAGGCATACATACAAGAAGGTCTTTACTTGTAGATTATGCAGATAGGGTTTCTGTAGTTGGGAATCACAGAAAAGTTCATTCCTCGCCTTAGTACTTTTGTGGTAGTTCAGTTCCCACATAACTTTTTCCCACAAGAACACTACACGCAGTGCCCCCAGCCTGAAGGAAACAGTGTATTCAACTCTTCACAAGATTGTGCACATAATTTTATTATGTAAACTTCCAAATGTCTAACTTTCCCGATCGAGGCAGATCCTGCCTGTTTAAGTCATCCAACAAGAAGTTACACTTCCAACATATTATGTAGTCTCTCGGACATCACGTAATATATCCTACCCGTTTAAATGATCCAACACAAAGTTACATATTATCTTATACATTATGTAGTCTATCTGACATCACGTGGTGTATTCTACCTGTTTAAGTCATCCAATAAGAAGTTACACATCTTACATATTATGTATTCTATCTGACATCACGAGAAAAAATAAATGGTGAAAATGGTATGGGTTTAACGCCCCTGTCAACACTATTAGATTATGTAAGGGGCGGGACCTCCTTGTTTAACGTCCGTCTCCGATAGGACAGAGCCAAGTGGGAAGTTCGTGTAAAGTGCCTTTCCCAAGGACACAATGTCGGACCGAGCTCAGGCTCTAACCCCCGAACCCGCAATCTTACGATTACGAGTCCGGTAGCCTAACCACTAGGCTACCGACGCCACTGACATCACGTGATGTATCCTACCTGTTTAAGTAATCCAACAAGAAGTTACACATCTTACAAATTATGCAGTCTCTTAGAAATCACGTGACATCACCCACCTGCTTTGGCTGCTTCACAAGCCTGCGCTGCAACGTCCGCTTTGATGGCGTCCAGGGCGTCAAAGTTCTGGACCTTGAAGACCTTACTCGTGTCCGTGGCTATGACCTTCAGCTCGTCCTCGCTGATGTTGGCGCCGACACCTATACTGACCACTGTGACGCCAGTGGCCTTGAGGGTCACGGCTGCCTCTACAG